TCATTCATTCAGCCCAGCACATTCTGCCCACCCACTGTGGGCCGGCCCTTAGCTCAATGCTGGGGCCACAGGGACTCACCAAGCCTGATCCCAGGCCAAGAGATCCCAGACTGATGGCAGAGACAGACTTGGCTGGGCAGCAACAGTAAGACCACCAGCTTTGATGGGACAACAGAGAAGCTGGGGGCCAGAAAAGGCTCTAACCCAGCAAGGGGCTCCCTGGAAGCTTCCAGGAGGGGGTAAGACCTGAGCTGGTCTGGGAGCTAAAATCTCTCCTCCCACTGCTCTGTCCTCTGAGTCCCTTCCCTCCTCTCTCCCCTCCCCCACCCCAACCCTCTGACAGACCGTCTGGCAGGTGGCAGGCCTGTGGATCACCGGTACATTCTGCGGCCCCAGCACAGCTGGCTGGACCGAGTGCGGCCGATCACTACTGGGCTCTCGTCCAGGCATAGGAACATGAGTGAGTCAATCAGATTCACTCATTCATTTATTATTCACCCCTACACATACTGAGGTTGTGGGCGTGTCCCAAGATGACAGAGGCCAAGTCAAAGAGACAAGAGAGAGGAAGAAGGGAGAGACAGGGAGCGAGATGCCACCTCCAGAGCCACCTCTGGTCCCAACAAGCTCTCTTCCCCGAGCCCCTTAGCAAGGCACCTGAGTCAGCCTCAGCCCCATCCACCACCAGCCAGCCAAGAGCAATGGGAATTCCGAGGGCCCCAGTCGGGCTGGCCTGCTGCGGGAGCCCGGGCTCCTTAATTAACTGCATGCTTATTTCCCTCCACCCCGAGGCTACCGAGCTCAGTGAGGATGCAAACCTAATAATCCCCAGAGAAAAAAATAAAGACTTACTTCCCTGCACCGTCCTCTAGCTGTCTGGCTTGTAGCAAATGCTCAACCTTGAAATAACAGTAATGAGGTGGGTGCTTGACGCCTCTCCCAGATCGAGAGCTGGTCATCTGCTAAGCACAGGACACGCACTCGCTCTCCTCACGTTCACGATGACTGTGTGGGCAGGGTACTCTGTGTGGGCCCATTTTACAGACAAAGACACTGAGGCTCAGAAAACACTTGCCCAGGATCTCAGCCCTGGAGGTCAGAGCAGCTGCAATTTGAAGCTATTTTTTTTGTTGTTCCAGAACTCACACCAAGCTGGACTGTTTCCAGGCTCAGCTCATTTCATTCAGTCAATCTGTGGACAAATGTGTATTGGGTGCCTCGCAAAAGCCAGGCACCTGGTAGGCACAAGGGCTATACCTGTAGAGAAGATACCCACAGAGGTCACCTCATGGAGCTCCCAGAAACCCAGACTGGAAATTCAAAAGTGAGGAAAAGAACAAGCAGAGTCCAAGATACAGAGAAAGAGAAAGAGAGAGAAAGAGAGGGAGCGTAACAGAAAGTGGAACACCTTGACAGCATAATTAGACCCCTAGATCCAGCTATACCTGAAGCTGGAAAACATGGATTTTCTCACTAACTAGGTGAGCCAGTAAACTCTCTTTTATCCTTAAGACAATTTACCTTAAGTTTCTGACACTTTTAATGCCAAATGCTGACTAACACCTGAGTCACAGCAGCCCTGGGGAGTTACTGAGGTTGGAAACACTAGTCCCGTATCCAAGGGCCCAGCTAACAAGTTAAAGAGTACATTCGAACCTGGGTCTTCACAACAGGAATTTGGGCATCTAACCTCAAAACCTTCTGTGCCAAGAGAAAACAAGGCAAAATGGTTATTTTCCAATGACATTCTGTAGGGGCCAGAGACAAGGTGACAGCTGAGGCTCTCTCTCCAAGACCTGAAACCTGTCGCCTCCTCTCCCCCACATAACAAGGGACATTCCCACAGGGAACATGGTGGCAGGAAGGGTGCAGAAGAGAGAACATGGCCTCAGGGACCAAGACCTAGGCCAGCACCCCAGCTGGGCCACTTCCTGGCTGTGCCCTGGACCCTCCCCCCCTGCAGGCAAGCTCTGTAAGGTGAGGACAGCCTGCTCACTCTGGGAGAAGGTGTGAGTGCTCGAAAGCTGGACGTGAGTGCCCTCCGCAGCTGCTTCCTGGGCCCGGGGCCCACTTCTCGGGGCTCCTTCTCCCGTGAGCCAGTGGCTCCCTGGAAGTGCAGGAACCCGCAAGGACATCAGACGGAAAGGCCGCCCCCTCCAACATCTCTGTTTCTGGAGCAATGGGGAGCTCTGAAGGATGGGGGTAGTGGGGGGCAGAGGGCCCCTCCCTTCAGTGAGGTTCTAACTATATGTCCAGACACGTGCACAATCATCCCCCATGGTGTTTCCGAGTGGGAGAACCTGCCAGCCCCGCCCCTCATTCAACAGTGGGGAAACTAGACCCAGAAGAGTGACAGTGACTGGATAGTTGGCTCAGTGTCACGCAAACCCCCTCTGCTCTTTCCACGAGGCCCTTCTTCTGAGGTGACCCCCACCATGCTGCCCTCCTGAGCCCCGTGCCCGCCCTTCCTTCCCACCTCTGGGCCTTTGCTTTTGGGGGTCCTTCAAGCCCAAGGGTTATGCTGTTGCCGCCAGGAAGCCCTCCTGGATCTCCCCGACTCTTCCGGGGCCATACATGCATAGTCCTGCCTTATCCTCATTCCCTCTGCTTCCTTCTTCCCATCAGTCTACTGTGGTAGGCTCCAGGGCCCAGCCCCATGCTGGTGGCAGGGAGGGACCCTGGAGGTGGGGCTGACTTCGAGGGAAGGGACAACCTTGTCTGTCGAACCATCAGAGAGCCTTCCCAAGGAAGTGACAGCTGGGTGATATCTGAAGAGTGAGTCTGCATTAGCAGGGCAAAGCGTTGGGGAGGAGAAAGTGACAGCACATGCAGGGACCTGAGGCAGGAGGGGACACAGAAGCTTCCAGGCCTCGCCTGTCCTCCTCCTTGCCCCTCTGCCCTCTCTGGGCTCCAGGCTGGCTCTCACTATCTCCTGGGGAACTCTCGGTGCGTGGATGGGCTGAGACCACAGGGTCCCCTCCGAAGCCTCACGCGTCAGAGAGGGGACAGACACTGTGACCCAGCCCGGCTGGGAGGTCCGGGGTCCAGGGACACAGGGGCACCCCCAGGCCAGGCACACAGCCATGCTCCTGCCACTCGGCTATATTCTTCAAGATGTGCTTAGGGGGTCTTTCAACGGGACGGCTAGAGTCTCCACCCACAGGATGCCTTTTAAAGGCCAGTGAGAAGAGTCACTGCCGGACACCAGCCCCCAAGGCACCTCTCCAGCAGACCGTCAGGATAACCTGGTCCACGCCCAGCACACATCTACCCAGCCCCCCAGGGCAGGAGGCCAGGCACAGGGTTTCTGGGCCCTCAGGGTGAGGGATCATTGGTCTCGGGGCCCTGAAGCCAGAAGCCCCGTCTGTCCGGAGACTCATTACTCAGGCAAAGGCAGCCTCCTCACCGCCAGGGTCTCTGGGGGCAACCACATAAATCAAACGGCTCAATCGCGGGCCATGTTTGGGTTGTCGCTGCCATTATTAAATATAAATTGTGGATTTATTAAATATGGCCCCCTCACTCCCTCCCCCCGGAGACAAAGCCCAGGGCAGTGATAAATCACGGGGCGGGAAGCGGCATCCATCCTCCCTGTCTCTCCCTCAATGGAGACTCGCCATGGAAACCTGCACAGATACCATCAGCAGCCGCCCGCTTCCCTTGCACTGGGGGCCTGCGGTCTCAAAGAAGGCAGCAGCCCTCCCAAGTCCCTGCCTGGCCCTGGCATCGCCCGGCTTTATGCCAAGTTGCATTTCAGAGCTGGGCTGGCCGGAGCAGGCGACAAGGGAGCCCTGGAGAAGGAGCCCAGACCCCGGGCTCAGTGCGTGCTCTTCCCGGGCCACTCACTGCCCCAGCCCCTGAGCCCCACTGCCAACGGCAGCCTGGAACTCCTGCCGCGGGAGCGGGCCGCGCAGAGCAGGCCAGGAGAGATAGTCATGAGCCATGGGGCAGGCCATGGGGGTTCTGCTGTGCCCACTCTAGCTGAGAGGCCACGGAAGAGCCAGGAAGCACGCTCACCACAACACCTGTATCACACACTGTTACCCACTTGGATGACACGGGTGTCGCCCGTCTGCCCCCCCACGGGAAGGTCAGCTCAGCACGGGGCAGGGCTCCATCTCTGACCACTGCCATGGTCCAAGCACCTAGCCCAGCCCAGTGTGCACTAACAAGACAGAACATTCACTACTAGCCCCATCCCGGGTGTGGATTTCCTGCTCACAAACATCCCGAACCCACAGTGGCTCATGGGTTAAATGGGAGCGGCCACCCCTCTCTCCTGTGGTCACTGACTGTGCTTCGTCAGGACCCAGCTGGGCCTGCAGGGGCCTGCTCGGGAAGCTCCCCACCAGCTGAGCCGTCCTCCAGCGCCCTGGCCCTCCCAGCCTGCTCCCCCACCCATCCTCCTCTGGGTCTCAGCCTAGAAGTCATCTTCTCCACAGAGTCCTTCCTCTGCTCCCCAGCCCTCCTCCCCTCCGACCTCCTGTTCCACTGGCTCTGTTCCAGGGCTGGGGCCTGCCTGAGTGTCTGTCGGGCCCGGTAAGCCACAGCTCCGCACGGCTCTACACGACATTATCTCTGGTGTCTGGGGACCCTTTGAAGTGGGGGTGCACAAGGGTCCAGGCCCAGGAACCCCACCTGCTCTGCCTGCCACCCAGGTGCTCCTGCCTGTTCCCGCTGGGGCAGGAGTCCAGCCAGCATCCAGGGACCCCAGGCATGGTCACTTCCAGCCCCGGAGGACGAACCCCATGGACAAAAGAGAAAACCCAGCCTGGGGAAGGTGGCCCTGACAGGCCTCAACGTCCCCCCCACTAAGAAATCGAATGCTGAGAGCCTGGGCCTTCCTTCCTGACCCAATCTGCCAATCTGGCCCCAGGATGGAAATAGGAGGCAGTTAGTTCCCCAAGTAGAAACGCACCAAAAAATAAAGTAGGCAGCTGCAGACACCAGGCCTCAGTCCCCTCCGAAATGAGCATTTCCCAAGCGAGCATGGAGGGATGGGCGTGTTCCCAGCGCTGGAGCGCACCCCAGGCCTGGTGCCGGCCAGCCTCCCAGGGCCTTCCTCCCATGAGGAATCTCTCCACACCCAAAGCTCGACGACAGAGGATAGCTCTAGGGGGAGCCACACAGGAACCAGAGGCAGCAACCTGCCCGCACCCAAGCTCCTGCCCTGGGATTGGACACCCCTAGCCTCCTTTTCCAAAGGGGTCCACGGGCTGGATGCGCCGTCTCCCCAAAGGAACAGCCACTAGGCCCCCACATTATGGCTCCCCAGAGTTGGTGCTCAAGGCCCTGGAAGAAGTCAAGGATAAAGGAGGGGGAGTGTCTTCTAGGAACCAGAGGAGCCACCTAGGCCGGAGCTGGGAGTTTAGCCATCTCCTCGCTGGGCCTCCCCTGCCTCCCCAGACCTCAGAAAACCACCCAGGGGGTAGAGAGTTTTCCCTCAGTCCCAGGGGATCCCGAGGCTATGCCTTTGCCTTGGCCTTCCGCTAGGACATCCCTGGAATGCTCCATCAGCCCCAAGGGGCAGGTGGCAGGACTCCCCAGTCCTTTAGGAAAGCATTTTTGCTTTCCCTATAGAAGCAAAATGGGTCCAGACAAAAGAGAGGGGTAGAACTCAGGGAGGACCCCCCAGTCCAAAACTAGGTTCCCAGCCTGCCTGGAGCCTGGAGCAAGGCCCTTCCTTCTCAGGGCCTCGGTCTCCCTGGCTGTACAACGAGGAACATGAATCAGACCAGGAGTCACCAACGCGAATACCAAGTGGGGGCAGCTGGAGCTCAGCCCCCCAGACATCGCCCATGAGACACTGTGGGCCCCCAGTCGCCAGGCCTTGTGGTTTCATAAAGCGAAGCCAGAAGTCTGGATTTTTACGTGCAGTCACCTCATTGTTAAATATCTGTGAAACATCTCCTGGCCGGCGGAAACAGGGCCGGGAGCCAGAACCGGCCCCCAGGCTGTCCCAGCCACGTCTCACACATCCCTCCCAGCTCGGAGCCTCCAGAATCATGCAGACCAACGAGCATGAAGCCCCTGGGCCCAGAGGCCGGGAGGCCACCCGCGCCCACGAGCCCGCCCCAGCAGCCGGTCCCACCCAGAGCTGCCCACTTACATCTGCACGTGCGGCGGCTGGAAGCGTCCCTGGTTGATGTTGTAGAAGGTGAAGGCCTGGGTGGGGTTGGAGCTGTACTCGTCCACCTCAATGATGAGCCGGCTGTGCTGGTGCCTCCGGGCGGCCATCACGTGCGACTGGGAGAACGCCATGCCCAGGCCACAGGGCAGGAGGGCCAGGGCCTCGGCCTTCAGGACGCCGGGATCCCACCTAGCGCGCCACATGGACCTCTGCGGGCCGCCCGGGCATCGCCCGCTGCCGCCGCCCGGCCCCGAGCCAGACCTGGGAACAGACTGGGGAGACGGAGCAGAACCGTACGACAGTTAATCTGTTTGGGATTTGCTTTATTTAATGTCAGATGAAGATTTAGAAAGACGAAGGGGGGAGAGGAAAAAAACACAGTCGTACAGCTCAAAAACTCATTACAGAGCTTTCCAACTCAGCAGTTTGATGAATATACTTTGGTAAAAAGAAAAGGAGAGGAAGGGAGGGGACCAAAAAAAAAAAAAAAAAAAGAGAGAGAGAGAGAGAGAAAAGAAAAGAAAAGAAACCCACAACGCCGGGGACGGATGCCTGCGTGGTCCAACATGTTTAAATACTTAAGATATTTTTTGTTGTTGTTGTTCTTCCACAAAATCCTCCGGAGCCCACAGGGTGACCGGGACATGGGGCAGGACAATGGCTGGTATTCTGGAAACAGGTAAGGAAGTTTCACTTATCCGAATGGGGGACTAGGGAGGATTCCCCTGCATCCCCGCCCCCTCCCCACAGACCCCCAAACACGCCACACCCACAGCCCTGCAAGCCCGAGCAGGTGGAGAGCACGGGCGCAAATTCCTTCCTCAACATCAGTGTCGCCTAAAGATATCTCTGAGCAGTGCCTGGAGAAGGGATTTTCCCAGACAGATTGCCATCCACCAACTCAGCTCAGGGGGTGGCCCTGGGGGGGGGGGGGGGGGGGGGAATTACTTTAAAAAAAAAAAAAAAAAAAAAAAAAAACCTTCCCAAATCCAGTCCACACAGAACCACAGCCTGCAAATGCCATCCTTCCCTTTACCCTGTCTTCCCTCGGGAAGCGCCGTCTGCATTTGCCGCGACTGGATTTTAACATCCTCTGACTGGCCCTTCTGACTGACTCGGACAGGGCCCCAAGCTCCGTCTCCATCCCATCCCACCAGGCTCACACGCTTCCCACCACCGCCAATGCCTCCTTTCTAAGACCAGCTAGCTTTCTCATGCGTTCCCATAATTTTTTTTTTTAACTGTGTAAATACATAAGGCCTTAAAGATGTTTTGTTGTGTTTTGTTTCAATTTGGGGTCATTAAGACCCTCCGATTCCATGTGCACTGCATTTAACCAAGGAGAAAATAACATAATTTAAACTCCTTCTGGTCAGTCATAACCCAGTTGTGTTAAAGGAAGAAAAATTCCCTTTGCTTCGCGCATGGAAGAAGAATCGACACCATCAGAAAACAAATTAGATTAGGAAAATGACAAAAATTAGAGACTGGTGAACATTTTAATTATGTGCGAAGGAGAAGTGGGTTATTAATTTTTTTAAAAAATCTCAACAATCGGGCCCATAGAAGGTGTAAAAAATGGCAGCGTCTTCCTCTTCCCCCATCCCCACCCCCAAAAAGAAAAAAAAAAAAGACAAAAAACTTACCCTGATTCACAACACATATCCCTCCCTTTCCTCCACTTGGGAAGACAAGAAAAAAAATCTGCTTTCCCCCAGGATACACTTGCTTCTGTCCTTTTTCCTGTTAATTGTTTCACTGTGATTCCCCTCTCCCGGCAGAGATGACCTGGCAGGCCTCTGAGGTGCCCAAATCAGGGTGTCCTGGCCTCGGGACTCACAAAATCTCCGTGGGAGCTGGCCCGTGCCCCTTTGTAACCCTGTGAGAGGACTGGGGGCCACAGACGCTGAGGCCCACACCGCCAAAGATCCAGATCTGGGTGGGGGTTTGAGCCCCAGCATTGCACTGACTCACTGTGTGATCTTAGGCCAATGTCCTAACCTCTCTGAGTCTCAGCTTCCTCTTCCGAGATCGGTTTGATAACAGCAACACTCCCTCCCAGGGCAGCTGCGCAGGTGAAACAAATGGGGATCCTGGGCACAGCGCCTGGCAGGTACCAAGTACCCAGCGAAGACTCCCTGTTCCTATTACGATCGTTCTTCCGTTCAATGTAACACCTGCGAATCAAGGGGCCGTTGTGAGCAGCTGCTGCCCACGTACGGGGGTATCTGTGGAACGGAGTGTCGACGGTGAGCAGAAGGGCCTGGAGAACCCGAATGTTCACAAATGCCAACAGACCGGAACGCAGCCCTGCTGGAAATCCCTGCCCCGGCTCCTCCAATGGACACCCCTACCCTCCCATCCTACAGAGGGGAGAAGTGCCCCTCGGAGCTGGGAAGACTCTTGCTGGGCCAGCACAGACGGCGTGTGCCACCTAGCTCGCGTGGCAGGTGGCCTGACACCAGGGCTCCCAAAGGGTTGCCTTCCTCTCCAGGGGACAAACGCTGACTCGCCCTTTACCCCTCGACAAAGCCAGCATTTCCTTGGAGTTGGGAATCGGGGTCCCCATTCCAGGGTGGCATGAGGAGCCAGACGTCTCCTGGAGGCGGGGCCTGGGTCTCGCTCACTCCCCTCCTCCCAGGCAGTGCCAGCCACTCTCCCCCCACCCCCAGCTCTGCAATCCTGAACAAGTGGCTTCGCCTCCAGGCGGCTCCGTCTCCTCATCCACGGAATGCAGGGGAAATACTGGCTTCCTCATTCAGTCATGGAGATGAAACGAGGGGACGCATGGAAACCGCTTGTCAACGGGCCCAGCACGTAGTAAGTGCCCAATAAATGTTAGCGATTATCCCGACATTATTACTGTCATCCCCAGGGCCACTGCAGACACTTGCATACACATCACATTAGTGAATGAGTGGCTCGAGGGAGGGATCTATGAATGGATGGATGGACAGACGGACAGATAGATGGATGATGGATAGATGAATAGATGAGGGGAGGGATGGACAGATAGAGGACCGAGGGATGAAAGGAGGCAGGGATGGGTGGAGGAACAGAGTACGTGTCTTGACAGTCTCTTTCCCTCACGCCCAGCACCGGCCTGCCAGAGGGTGGGTGCCAAGAGGCCTCAGCTGAAGGTTGAAGACTCCTGGTCCCTCCCCTGCTTACCCACCACACACCCCTGCAGAGATGCTGGCTGGGTGGAGCACAACCCTCTGAAAGGGGAGGTCTCAGGGGCTTCCACCTGTCCCTGCCCCAAGGACACGAGCCAGCACGCCCAGCCTTCAGCCTGCAGCTGGGGCAGGGAGGACGGCTCTGCACCCAGGGACGCGGCCAGGAAAGGCAGGCGGCAAGGCGTCCCGGGAGGCACTCTGCAGCGAAATGCTGCGTTTCACATAAAGGGGGTTTGCATTGGGCCCTGCTTGAAGAAATCAGGGAAACTGGGAAGGCAGAGCCTTCTTTTAATACCCATTTAATATTTATGGAGCCGCAGCAGCGCGTCAGCCGCCGTGTGGAGAACGCAGTCCATCCGCGGAGGGGGAGCAGCGTTGCCCAAACAAACGGCTTCTAGCTGGGAAGCGTTTCCACCTGGTCCATATAACAAGCAGCAGCGAGCTGGCTGTGCAACAGGGCCGCTGGGACCCACTGGGCCCCCGGCGTGTGCAGAGACCGCCTGGGCTCCGGTCCCAGGGCCAGCAGAGTGACCTTGAGCAAGGCATGCATCATGGCCAGGTGGCAGGTGCCTCCTCTGGGCCAGCGGGTGGGAAGACAATGAAACCAGGAGGAGGAGCGTAGAACGAATTAATTAATGCATTTATTTATGCAACCCAACATTTAACCACAGCCCTACACACCGGCACTGTTCTGAGAGCCAGAAAGAGCAGAGAGAAAGCATTCCGGTCACTGCCCACAAGGGAAGGGATGGAGGAGGCAACAATGTAAATAGAAAAGACACTTTCAGATAATGATATGTGCCTGGAAAAAGAGCAGAGTAACGGAATGAGTAGTGGGGGAAGGGGGGTTGTTCCTTGAAATTGGGGGATCGAGAAAGGCCTGTCTGAAGAAGGGATGTCACCTCAAAGGTGAGTGCTGAGAGGGAGCCAGCCAGACCCAGACCTGGGGAAAGAGAACCAAGACAGAAGGAAGTGCAAAGGCCCTGAGGCACCAATAAATGGTCTCTCTCAGGGCACCTGTGTGGCTCAGTCAGTAAAGCATGAGCCTTGTGTCTTTCCTCCTGCTCCTGCTCCACAGGGAGACACTTCTCTCTCTGCCTCTGCCTGCTGCTCCCCGTGCTTCTGCTGTCTCTACTGCTATCTCTCTCTCTGTCTAATAAATAAATAATCTTCAAACAAATAAAATAAAAAAAAAATGGTCTCCCTCTTATTGTTTTTGTTCTTGACCCCTGGTGTGCTACCACAGTGGAGAATGGCCTGAACTTCGCAGTCCCAGGCAGTGGGTTCAAATTCAGTCTCCAGCACTACTTAGCTGTGGAACCTGAGCAAGTCACTTAACCTCTCTGTGCTGTTTCCGCTGCCTCATTAGGCCCCTCTCAGGGAAACAGAGGAGAAGTAAGCCTTGTGCCTGCCTCTCCAGAGAAGCCCAATCAACCTGCTCGGATGGGCCGAAAATTCTTGAAATTTCTGGGTTGAAAACTTCTTGTTGAAATATTGCCTCTAATTTGTAGGGCCCGCTTTTCGAGTCAGATTCTCTCACAAGGTGATTTATCTTTCTGGTTCCCCCCAAAGACATTTCGTTGCTGGTCCTCGCATGCCATGAGGAACCTGGGCATCAGCCGAGGCATCAAGCGGTAAGGAGCAATTAGGCACCAGCTGTATGGAAAGGTCATAAGTTGGGAAGAGGCCGGCTCCAGGCCCTGTGCTCTCTGACTGTCCCCACAGCCTTGTCCGGCCTCCTCCGACTACATCACCAAGGCCAGCCCAAGCCAGCCTCCTGAACAAAGATCCTAAAATGCACATTTGACTAAAGCCACTCCCTCCTGCTCACCAAATGTCCCCAAGGCCATCCTGCTGCTCTGGGCTAAAGCTCCAGATCCTTCAATCAGCTCAGGAGGCCACACTGGATACCCAGGCACCCTCTCACGGCTCAGGTGAAGCTCCCCACCCCCAGGTTCCCCGCAGCACACCGGCAATCCTGCCTCTGAGCCTTCACACGCACTGTTCCCTCCGCTGAAAGGCTCTGCGCACCCCGCATGAACGGGCGCACAGACCTGGTTCCTGGGCATCTCCCTGACCTCCCCAGGCTGGGCCAGGCAGGCAGGCTCCAGCCACAAACCCCCAAGGGCTTCTCTCACCACATCCCCTGTGTCTGAGCTGAATGAGAGGCCAAGAATCAAACCGCAGGTGAACGAGGGAATGAACGAGAGGAAACGCACAGGCGCTCACAACTCACAGCCTGGGTTCAAAGCAGCTTTCACCTCCCGAAACTCAGGTCTCCGCCCTGTAAGGCTGCGGACGCTCAGAC